TTTTTTTTTTTTTTTTTTTTTTAAGAGATTTTTGCTATAGGGCATGTGTGCTCACCAGAGAGACAGAAAGACATAAAGTGAGAAATCACCCTCCAGGGGGATGGCCACACTGCAGTCCCTTCTCCATTCTCCTCTCGGGATTTTGGGCATACATGCACATGCGCCTAGCATAAGTTTCAAGCTGCCAGGTCGGAGACGCAAACCATGGTCAACTACGTGGAAGTGCAGCAATGTAACTGTTATGCCACCTGCTGGTTCCAGTCGAGGTGGGGATTTAAGACAGAGCAGATAACAAGTATGCCCTGGCTCCTCACACATGCAGAAGCCAGCTACTTTACTTACACACATTTGGGATGTATGCCTTTCAAATACCCATGCGTGCCATCTTGAGAATTCTGGTTTGAGTTTCTGGTCATGTGCTGCTCTCTTTCCCACCCCACCCTTGGGCTCTGTTCCTGTCTTGAGGGTTTCGGGAGTAGGAGCTCAGGAAAAGGACAGGTGTAAGCATCAGAACTACCTGGAACATTTACTAAGAGACAGATTTCTGCCCCTTTCATATCCTCCCACCCACATTCATTCTAATACAATCTTTAGAGTTGATAAGCAACTGATTTAGAATACAGCAAGTGAGCTATGCTTATCTTGGAATTCATGAGGTTAGGAGAGCATGTTTAGACAGTGGCTACAAACTCCTACCCTGTCTACCGGTCAACTCTCAATTGTCCTTCTAAATGCAGTTCAGATACTATTTCCACAAAAAAGCAAAACAAAACAAAACAAAACACCAGAAAACACACACACACACACACACACACACGCACACACACAAACCGTGACTTTCCTGATATGTTGAGGGAGTGCTAACCACACCTTGGTGCTACCACTATCTTACCCATAACTTAGTAACTAAGCTCTTCCCAATCCATAATTGCCAACCTTTGCGTTTTCTTTTGAAAATTTGCCAGAGGGTATGTATGCTCACAAGAGAAAGAGAGAGAGAGAGAGAGAGAGAGAGAGAGAGAGAGAGAGAGTGAGAGAGAAACAGCTCTCACTGGGGCGTGGAGATGCCACAATCCCTTCTCCTCCATTCTTCCATCCTGCCATGATCTTGGGCATACATGTACATGTGCACAGCTTGGCACATGCACCCAACATGTTGTCCAAGCCTTTGGGGCCAAGATTTGAACCACGCAGTCTGCCATGTGGGAGCCAGTTTCTTTGACTACTGGGCTACGGGGTTGGCCTGTAATAGCTAACCTTACAATGCAGGTATAAACTCCTCTGGTACAACTCCTGCATCTTACTCCAGAGGGTGTGCAGTGTCCAGCCCTTAGTCTTACAAAGAAGTGGCATTTGCTGCCTAAATGTGATCCAAAGAACCTGGTTTTTCCACCTGAATGGGTTGGACAGTACCCAGACTAGCCAGAGTAACTGTGGGATCCAGACAACCTGTCTGGAAAATCTCAAGGTGAGAGCTGTCAGATTTCTCAAACATCAGCTGGGAATAAAAATGATGTTCTGTGGCATCTCTCTGATACTTTGTAGTTCACGAGGCTGCTCGAGTTCTAATCTCTCTAATCTCACCTTCTCCAGTAGCTTCTAGTTATGTGCCTTTGGATAAATGACCTTAATCTCTCTATGCCTCGGTTTCCTCCACTCTTAAGTGGGGATGATAATAAGAGCGCCTCTCTCGTTACTTGTGAAGAATAGATGCGAGCACTTAGATGAGTCCCTGGTCTGTAACAATTGCTCAACAAGTGATTAGTTGCTGCTGTTATTCTTACTAAGTGCTTCTGATGTGTAACCTCATTTGATCCTCACATTTAATCATTTTAGGCAAAACTAGACAAGATGCTGAAAGCTCCCAACCTGTATAACACACGGAGATCCAGACCAAAGACTGTCCCAATCCAAGCTGTCTTTCAAACAGGTTAGTAATTTCATTCGAGGCAGAGAATGACTCTTGGTTTAGCTCCCCAAGGTGGGGTTTACTGTAGAAAGGGCAAGATGGCTTACTTGGGAAGGGTAGTTCTCATACAAAAAGTAGGATGGGCTGAAGCTGCAGAGAATAAAAAATTCAAGCTGGTAAGAGACTTAAGTGATCATTGAGTACTAGGCCAACCCTTATATTTTACTGATGGAAGGAGAAATTTGAGACCAAAAGGACGAAGTGTCTTGCACGAGTCTCACAGAAAGATGGTAGTAGGGCCAGAACTGGGGCTTAGAACTCCCTATCCTAACACCTTTCTGGGTTGGATCCTCACCTGCAACTGGTTGGGAAGGGGTGGGGAGTGACCATTAGCTCCCACTGCTTTCTGAGAAGGATTCAGCAAGGGGGTGGGTGGGTAAGGGATGTCAGGGCCCTCAGGAACAATCAGAGAATCTGGACTTGACACCCTCCCGTGAGACCAAGAGAAATGACAGTGGAACCACTGTGGCCCATACTTGTCCCAACGACGATTGTACTTGGACTAAATTATTAAACTGATGTGGGTTGGTAATATAATCCAGTAACCAAGAGACATGGATTCTAATTCCAAATTCAGCTTTAAAGCTCCACCTGTCTGCTTCCAGGAAGCCATTTTTGAAGATTCCCTCCCTGAGTTCTCACAGTACCTACTGTCTGAATCACTCATCACACACCACACTCTGTCACTAATTAGCCTCTGTTAATGGCTTTCCCGTCCCTTACTCCCTAACAGCACTATGAATAATTTTAGTAGAGGGACTGAGTCTTAAACTTTCCACCTCCCTGGAGTGGAGATAATGTAAGATAATCACAGAAGGGGTATATGAAAGGGGAGCCCCCTCTCCCAAAGATCAAATAAATCATCTTGTTCAGCCTATCATTTACTTTTGTAGAAGAAACTAAGACTAGCAATGACATTGGCCCATTGGTTGCAATGGGATTTCAGACACAAGAACCAAAAAAATAGCAGGGGAGAAGAAAAGGCACTCATTTTCGAGAAGCTGGGAAACAAAATCTTGCCCCCAGAAGCACTGTCATAAGAGAGAAAGTTGTATCGACGCAGATCAAGAGAAAGTAGCCTACAAAAGCTTTCTTTCCCCCGTGAAGCCCTAGAATCCACGTGACCTGGGGGAATTACATAAGCCTCATCTTCTTAGAGGAGCGAGGCTGCTTGTTTTGCTCAGTTCAGTTGTTGGCACGAGGTGGTTGTTTATTTGGTTCAAGAATTTTTCCCATCAATGCCTACTTTTCTTTCACTTTGTTCTATCAGTTACACTGAGTACATTTCAGAAACATTGAGTCTGCTTTTCCTGGAAATAGTAAGGAATAAGGAATACTTTATGTATCTAACCTCAGAGTTAAACATCTAACTACAAGACAGCATCTGTTATAAGGTTATCTAGCCACACACAAGGGGTCTTCAAAAAGTTTATGGAAAATGACTATTATGGAAAAACTGCACATGGACTTCAAAATTTTGCACTAAAACTCATTCTACTTTGGAGTTCTCTGGCATGTACATATGAGCAATGTGTGTGGGTATCATTTGAAAGAGACTGAAACAAAAGATGATTGACATATGTGTATGGTACTTTATATATACAGACACATTAATATTCATGTGAATATATAGAGATAGACCTTAGTTTCAATTGGCAGTCACTTGGTGTATAGTGTAACCTGTCATAGTTGTAAAGTATTTTATGTGTACATACTGCTCTGTGCAGTTATAGTTCTATCCCTATGAGCTTTATTCAACCTACTTCTAGTGAGCATCTACCATACATGTGTATGTAAGTAGACATATGTGTGTGTGGCACAGTTATGGTAAGAAATATATATGTCCTAGGGCCATTTGGTGGCACAGAGGTAAGATCCGACAGTCTGTGAATTTGACCCACTGGGAAGGCTCCAGGTTGGTGTCAAGAGACCTCTCTGAGTACACCAAGGATGGACTAGCTCATGATTTGGGGCTGGCTGAGGTGGGGGAGGATCAGGTGTTGTGATTCTCTTGACACTGTCACTGTCTCTTGACACTGTCACTGTCTTTCTCCCTCATGGAAGAAAGAAGGAAATAAACATAAAGTAGTATGGGGTCTACTGGAACCTATAAATTTAGGGCAGTTTTGCAGAGCTCACTGATATTAGTAGTAAGACAGAATAGATTTGCAGGCTTTGCAGAGCACTGACGAAGGGGTTTTGGGTCTTGCTAGGTGTGTAATCAGCATCGTCAGCATTTCCTTTCTAAACCAAGTTCTACATCAAGTCCTGTTTGGATCTGGGGCCCAGGGGAACAGTGAGAGCAAGGAGCTGCTCAGACTTGGTATTGAGATTGAAGGAAGGGACCGACACTTACCATACGCTGTCACTGCCCTTGTCCAGGGGGTTTCCCATGGAGTCGTAGTACACGTCCACACTGAGATTACGGTCTGTGTCATGAGCTGAGTTGAAGTTTGTGATAACCCGGGCAGGAATTCCCAATGACCGCATCACTGCAAGTTAACATCAGTGTGAGGACTCGGGATGTGGTGGGGATGGTCTCTTGGCTCACCCCATTGCTCCCCATAGACCTAACACAGGTCCTTCACCCCTGAAGTACCTGTGTTGAGGGTCCCAGCAAAGACCCAGCACTGGCCAAATCGGACTGGCCTGAAGCCAGTTCTCTTCCACTCCTTGAGGATCTCCACACTGCCGTTCCAGTTCCTTGGGTCCCGGCCGCCTGTGTAATCACCACTCCAATTCCCAGCAAGTACACCGTTGTCATCATTGCTGTTGATCTGGGGAGAAACCCCAACCCCCCCAAGTGAATCAGCACCATGCCTTTCCTATGGAGAGTGACATGTGGAATTCAGATGACAAGGTGGGAGATGAGGAAGGCAGCCAATGACTATCAGATGAATTTTTCATGAGCGAGCACATGAACATGCACATGTATGTGTTTGTAACACCCTCAACAGGGTCTTGTCTCTTTCCCCCAGACCTCGAGCTTGCCAGGATCTTGGGAATATATGCACATCTGGTGTTTTCAGATCAACTCAGGATCCACACCCACAGTCACATGCCTTTCAGTGCTACGGATCAGTATGCTACGAGCACAGCTGAGGCCGAGCCGAATGAACTTGTCTGTATCTTTCTAGGTAACTTAGGGAGGGTAATTGTAAACAACCATCCCTTAGAGGTTACTGGTATATGAAATTACAGATGCTTTGCCCAATGGGCCATATCTGCTTGTCCTTGGTCCATACATCAGTTCTGTGCTGTGGATGGACACAGAAAACAGATTCCACAGCTTGCTGGGGAGATGTCAGTGTCAGAAAGCCAGTTGGGCTTGCCGCATAGCTCAGTGATTAAGGAATCTAGATCCCACATGGCCAACTGTGGTCCTAGTCCCAGCCACAGCGGCTTAAAAAACATGCCAGGTGCATGCGGATGCATGCTCAAGATCCTGACAGATGGAGAAATGAGGGAAAAGGAATTTCAATGTGATCACATCCTATCTGGGGAGGGGCCCTCTACCTCTCTTTCTCTGGCCAGTACACATACCTGGCAATAAAAGCAAAAAAAATTCCAACACACAGAGGACTTTTTCAAAAAAGTACTCATAAGCTATCACTAATATCTGTCTGCTTGGGGGTCCATAGTTTCAAACTTTTTTTTTTTTTTTGGTGTAACTAGTCTTCCAAAAAGCTCACTCTTCACAACTTTAGCAACTAGCTTATTCTTGGAAAGATTAAGATGGAAGTTTGCTTTTCTATCATTATTCATTCACTTGACCATTTGCTCATTGTTTGTTTCTTTCATTCAGCTTAAGGCATGGTTCTGGCACAAGTAACACAACCATGGAAAGAACACCAGACTAAGAATCAAAAGACCTGAGCTTCATTGTCTTTTAGCCACACTATCAAAAGATGTACCAATGAAATGATGTCAAATGATATAATGTTTGGGATTTATCAAATTATCCGTGGAGGAGGGGTCAGCGATGAACTAAGACTGACCTTGAGTGGATAATTGCTCAAGCTGGTGATAGGTATATAGGAGTTCATAATATTGTACTTTTCTCTCTAATTTTGTGTAAGTTTGAACTTTTCCAAAATAAAAAGTTAAAAACTCAGGTTCAAGCCCTGCTTTGCCACCACAGCAATCAATTCACCTCTCTGGGCCTCAGTTCTTCCCTCTCTGATATGGAGAAAGTTAGAAACCATTGAACTCTAAGGGGTCTCCCAGCAGTCAAGTTTCAGTCTGAACCTTTGATCATTGTTATCTCAATTATACATGAGAGGCTGGACCAGATGTCTCCAAAGGCTCTCCCAGCCTCTGAGTCCTACTTTCTTTTCGTAGAATAGCTGTAAGAAAATAGGCAAGGCCTATGAGAACAGACAGTTTGGAAATAGAAGGATCCTTACCCAAAACAGGCCATGGCCAGCCCTCTGAGCCCCTCAGCCCATACTGAGCTCTGCACCCCTTCTAGGAAGGTCTAGGCTGTAATCATAGGATCAGGCAAGGCAGGGCAGGGCCTCTTTGCAGATGGAAGATTGTACAGCCCCTCCCCTTCTCCTGAGTCACCAGTGCTCCAGCCGCCCAAGTAGTAATCAGCAGGGTCATCTCTGGCTGAAAGCTGAGCATTTCAAAGGCCTGCACAGGCCATAATTAGCTTATGGCCCAGCCCAACAGGGAGGTCTGGAGAGAGCATCAGGGAGGTGCAGCTGAGGAAACTGGCTCCAAGATAAAGCGGGTTAGCCTGAGGGTTTGAGTGAGTCAGCGGCTGCAGGAGGCAACTGGCCTCACCTATTCTCTCCTGGGCCCATGGAGGCTCAGTTTCCTAAGTCATCCTGTACTCCAGCTCATGTAACCTCTACATTGGCTTTAATGCTGCCTCTTCTGGGACACTGGGTTTTGGGGTTTAGCTCCAGGCCCACTTCTTTATCATAACCTTCCCAGGTTGCTCCAGTCTTACTGACTGCCTCAGGGCCTCCAAGTTCTCCAGACTTCCCTCACTGCCTTCCTGTAAGACTCAGGTTAAGACAGCACTTTCAAAAGGCCCTCCCTAAGTAACCCAGATACCTATTGTGCAGTTGGGGAGGTCATTCAAATTTGTAACCAAGTAGCTAATTTGTTAACTTGGACATTATCAATTTAAAAGAGAAAAAAGTAGTACATAGGCTCAGCACTGACAGTAGCCTACTGATTTACAGTAGGAAGCCATAAGGCCATCACGGGTTTAAATACTGAGTTGACCTGAAATACACCCAGCATGTGCTTGCCCAATATCCTGACTCACTGGAGAGCTGGGAGAAGGGGATCTTGGTATGATGAGGCCTTGTCAAGGATCCTTGTCTCTTTTCTCTCTCTCTCATGTGTGCATGTGTGTTCTCTCACAAGAAAAACTTTTAAAAAAGTGATATACAAAACAGAACACTTACATAGTTAACATGTATACAAAAATTTAAACGTCTAGCAACTAGATTAAAGAAATTACACCAAAATGATAACAGAAGTTGTCTTTGGATAGTGGGTGAAGTAGGAGGCAAGACCAGACGGATGATTCCCCCACTTGGATTCATTTTGCTTTTCAAATTTTTCTATGAGCTCTAAAACTTCTTGACAGAATGTTTATAGTTTTTCCTGATTGCAAAAAATATATGTTTTCAGGTAAAACTTGAAAATAATTTTTTAAATAGTAAGCAAAAGAAACAGAAACGATAAAGACCCTTCTGGGATAATTATTTAGTTTAGAAGGCTCACGGCTTTTACCTTGTAACTTTTGGATAGGCTGCTCCTATGCTTGCACATTTTATGACAGGTATTCCTTAGGAGCCACAGATTCCTCTGGACTCTAGCTTGTGTGTGTGTGTGTGTGTGCTGTGGGAGGACAGGTCTAATGCAGAGTGACAGGGTGAGTGGGAAGAGACCCTGGGTGTGCAATTCAAGGCCTTGTACTGATTTGGCTCCCAGGCTGTGGGCCTTGAACAAGTCATTTCCACTTCTGGAACTTGCGCTCTTTCTGGATAGGATGACCTCCTGCCTTCCCATCTGATATCTCAGTGTTTTGTGCTGTGGGGCCGACAGATGAAAAACAAAGGAGGTTAATGCTTTAGGCTCTCCCGGAGACATGCTTCCTCTCCCAAGAGGTCCAGTGATGGAGCAAAGTTCTAGCTTTGCATCGTCCCACTCCTGGTGGACACCAAAAGGCCCTATGATACAGTGGAAAAGGCTTTGGCCACGTAGGCCAGGGGCCGGTTCTGGCTTTGCCATTTACTCACTGTGTCTCGGGTAAACCTGAGAGGTTTTTAGAGGAGCCTCATGTTCCAGGTTGACCCAGTGAGGATGGCCATAGCCATCGGCTGCATGTGGTGAGGCTTCACTGAAATATGTTAAAAATGTATGTGCCCAAGGGCCAGCCCATAGCTGAAGGTTAGTGAGCTGGATCCCATATGGCCAACTGTATGGCTCAAGTTCTGGACCTGGTGGCTCGAAAAACACAGCAGGTGCAGGTGAGTGCATGCCTGAAATCCCAAAAGGAGAAAGAAAGGAGGGGAAGAGATTGCAGCATGACCATGCCCCATGGCTGCTTTCTCATTTTCCCTCTGGTAAAATTCAAAAATTAAAAAAAAAGTAAAAGAAAAAGAGAATGTACATGCCTGTGTTCAACATACGGTAACAACCACTTATTACTGTTTTCCTATTACTCACCATGGCACTCAGCACCCGGCAGACATATTTGGGGTCACCTCTGCGGGCCACATCAGTAGCAGCATCCCGGCGGTAGTTCAGACTTCTATCCAGGATGGCGAGGGAAATGCTCAGAATGTCATCTTCAAACTGTTCAACATGGGACCATAGGTTACAACGAAAGACATGACCAGTAGTGTTGGCTAACTAGGGACTGGAGCCACACTGGGGAGAATCCTGGGAATAACGAGATCCTTTCGCTCTGCGGCCTCCTGAACGGAAAGCTCCAGGCTTCAACCTGGTGAGCTCATTCAGAGCGCAGTGAGCTCTGTTGCACATCAGACCCTGGACTGATTGGCCGGAGGTGCTGGGAGGGAGCCTCACACAGCTGTCTCCTTGGGGTCACATGTTCGAGAGCACGTGCTTAGCCTGCGTGACCTTGGTTCCTCCGTGTGTATAATGGGTCAGGCCAAGCTCATCTCGGAGATCCCTTTTAGCTCTGACTATGAATGTGAGCACGTGATTTAGACTCCTGAGGAACTAGTTATAAAGCTAAAATAGGGGCTGAAGGTGGAATGGTGGGAGAATGTGATACTCTGCAAGGCTGACCCATATGGAATGGTTCCAGGCTTGTGCCCAGAGGCCTACCTGAGTGTACTGGGCATACGTGTCTGACTGTGGGTGGGTGACTGTGTTGAGACCATTTTGGAAGAGCTGTCTCTCTGTCTCTCTTGCTCATGAAAAAAATGAATGAATAAACTTAAAAAAAAAAAAAACGATAAATATGAGCTGGCAAGGTGACACAGTGGTAACATGCCACTCAAGCAAAGCTGGATCCACATGGAAGATCACAGGTTCAGTTCCTTTGTAGATCTGTGCAAGCCAGGCACAAATGCCTAGGAGCCTGGCTGGCTGGGAGGTGTTGGGGTATTGGTGTGACATGATGTTGAGGGTGTTTCTCTCCCCTGCTCTCTCTGTCTCTCACTCTCATTAAAGAAATAGACGTACTTTAAAAAATAGGGACCAGCAGATGGCATAATGGTTACATTGCTGGACTCCCACATGGCCATCCACAGTTTGAGTCCTGGACCGGCAGCTTGAAATTCACACTGGGAGCATGTGTGTGCATATGTGCCCAAAAATCCCAAGAGAAGAATGGAGGAGAAGGGATTGCGGCATGACTATCTCCGGCTCCCCTTCTAGGGTGATTTCTTGCTTTCTCTCTCAGTAAAAGAAAAAGAGAATGTACATGCCTGTGTTCAACATACGGTAACAACCACTTATTACTGTTTTCCTATTACTCACCATGGCACTCAGCACCCGGCAGACATATTTGGGGTCACCTCTGCGGGCCACATCAGTAGCAGCATCCCGGCGGTAGTTCAGACTTCTATCCAGGATGGCGAGGGAAATGCTCAGAATGTCATCTTCAAACTGTTCAACATGGGACCATAGGTTACAACGAAAGACATGACCAGTAGTGTTGGCTAACTAGGGACTGGAGCCACACTGGGGAGAATCCTGGGAATAACGAGATCCTTTCGCTCTGCGGCCTCCTGAACGGAAAGCTCCAGGCTTCAACCTGGTGAGCTCATTCAGAGCGCAGTGAGCTCTGTTGCACATCAGACCCTGGACTGATTGGCCGGAGGTGCTGGGAGGGAGCCTCACACAGCTGTCTCCTTGGGGTCACATGTTCGAGAGCACGTGCTTAGCCTGCGTGACCTTGGTTCCTCCGTGTGTATAATGGGTCAGGCCAAGCTCATCTCGGAGATCCCTTTTAGCTCTGACTATGAATGTGAGCACGTGATTTAGACTCCTGAGGAACTAGTTATAAAGCTAAAATAGGGGCTGAAGGTGGAATGGTGGGAGAATGTGATACTCTGCAAGGCTGACCCATATGGAATGGTTCCAGGCTTGTGCCCAGAGGCCTACCTGAGTGTACTGGGCATACGTGTCTGACTGTGGGTGGGTGACTGTGTTGAGACCATTTTGGAAGAGCTGTCTCTCTGTCTCTCTTGCTCATGAAAAAAATGAATGAATAAACTTAAAAAAAAAAAAAACGATAAATATGAGCTGGCAAGGTGACACAGTGGTAACATGCCACTCAAGCAAAGCTGGATCCACATGGAAGATCACAGGTTCAGTTCCTTTGTAGATCTGTGCAAGCCAGGCACAAATGCCTAGGAGCCTGGCTGGCTGGGAGGTGTTGGGGTATTGGTGTGACATGATGTTGAGGGTGTTTCTCTCCCCTGCTCTCTCTGTCTCTCACTCTCATTAAAGAAATAGACGTACTTTAAAAAATAGGGACCAGCAGATGGCATAATGGTTACATTGCTGGACTCCCACATGGCCATCCACAGTTTGAGTCCTGGACCGGCAGCTTGAAATTCACACTGGGAGCATGTGTGTGCATATGTGCCCAAAAATCCCAAGAGAAGAATGGAGGAGAAGGGATTGCGGCATGACTATCTCCGGCTCCCCTTCTAGGGTGATTTCTTGCTTTCTCTCTCTCTAATGAATGCACATGCCCTATAGCAAAAGTCTCTCTCAAAATAAAAGATAAAAATATTTACTTAAAGACACATTTTAAGTCATTTCCATAAAATAAAACTTATTTTAATTAAGTCCTCCTCAAACTGAAAAGGCCAAACTCCTCTTGTCTTACAGTCTTTGCATTTGCTTTTCCCTCTGTCTGGAATGCTCTTTCCAAGATATCTGAGTCTCTTTCCTCCTTTGAAATCCAAGACCGTTTCCTAAGAGAGGCCTTCCTAGACCATGCCATCAGAAATAGCCTCCCTTCCACTCCTGGGTACACTCTACTCCTTGCCCTACCTTTCCCCCTTCCTTCCAAAGAAATTGACACAGAAAGCGAACATATAAAAGAGATAGCAGACTTGCTTCGGTCCACTACAGAATGGGATCTAGAGACAGCCAGGACCTGGGGCGAGGTCATTCTAATGCCTTTATGTTCTGGAAGAAAAAAAAGGCAAAGAATATTCCCAAAAGTTTTCTAAGCAGAGAAAACCTGGGAACTCTGTGGACTCAGGTAGTAGTAAAGGACCAAGAGGCTATGACTTTTAAAGGCCCAGTGCAGACGCTAAAGAAGATTCATCGCATTTTTACATGGAATGAATAACAGAAGCTGTAAGTCTGTGCCCAGTGTCTCTACTGGTCCTTACACTTACTAGCATATAATCAGTGACATTTTATTACATCAACTGAGTTACATGTGTCTATCTCGTCCTCTAGATTGTCAACTCCTTAAAGACAAGAGACCTGTTTTATTCCTCTCCTGAGTCCTTAGGAAACAGTGTAGGGTGTGCACATAGTAGGTGGTCAATGTCATCCAAATGAATTAATAAGTAGAGGGCAGACAAATAAATGGATGTGGCTTCTTGGGTCCCAGGGACATTATTCTCAGGCTCTCTGGAACCTATACCTGTCCGAAGTTCCAGCCGACCATGCTTATTCGATTTGTGCTTCCCACAAAGATGATGCCAGCATCTTCTTGAACATACTCTTCTCTCTCAGCGTGGTTACCCATAAAGACGCTATCCGCTGTTGGACACAAAAAGCAAATACCAGGGACTAGCATCCAACAGAGGACTATAGAGATCAGGTCTTCTCCCACATCTGAGCACTGGCATGGGTCAGAGCAAGCCCCATCTTTAGTACTTCCCCAACCTCCACCTTGAAGCTGTGAGCAGTAATGTGTCCCACTTGATTCGTGGGAATTATGAACTGGAAGGAGAAGCCAGGTTGACCTGAGGGCCTGAAAATGAGACCCTGAAGAGACACTTGCTCCTTTGGACAGGGAGCATCTCTGTGCTGCAGAACTGTACTGAACTCATGGCCCCTTATAATTGACCACATTATGTGGCTTGTGGAAGCTCAAATGATCCCCATGATAAGCCCAGAAGAAACAGCAGTTTCTCCCTTTATTTTTTTCTTAAAAAAAAAAAAAAAAAAAAAAAGCCAAGGGACTAGCAGATGGCATGGTAGTTAAGGCATTAAGGTTCCCATATGGTCCACTGTGGCTCAAGTCCTGGATCTGGAGGCTTGAAAATCACACCAAGCATGTGTGCATGCATGCCCCAAATCCAAAGAGGAGAATGGAGGAGAAAGGATTGCAGTTGGCCATTCTCCATGGCAGGGGGTGATTTCTCACTTTTCTTCTCTTTCTTTCTCTAGTGAACACACATGCCCTATGGCAAAAACCTAATAAAAAAATTGCCAAAAGGTGTGTACACTTGCCAGAGACAGACAGAAAGAGGAAGAGAGAGAAAGTACTCCCCAAAGAAACGTAGTCACACCACAATCCCTTCTCCTCTATTTCTCCATCCTGTAGGGATTTAGGACATGGAAGCACACACACCTGACATGTTTTTCAAGCCACTGGGACCGAGATGCAAACCACACAGTTGGTTGTATGGGATCTGGCTCCCTTAACTAGTTGGTCTTGGAGCTAGCCTGGTTTAATGGTGAAGAATTCGAAGCTCAGAGGCATAGAGTGACTGTCCAGACTCACAGCTGGTTAAGCAGTAGGACTGCCCTCAGCTTCTATATTCTTTCCATAGCCCACTCCCTTTCCCTAACCAAACCTGAGTCTGTGGAAATCATTCCCCCATCCCCTTCCCATAGTCACTGCTTAGGGGATGGCTGGGAGTATGAGTGTGTAGGGGCCTACCTTGCTGCCAGGGGTTAAAGAGCAGCATGAACGTCCCAAGTTTCAAAGAGGAGACGCTGCCCTGGGAGGAAATCTGAAGGTTCAGCGTGTACAATCCTATGGGTGCATTGGCAGGACTGGAGATAGCGACGGCCAGATTGTTGTTATTGTTGTTCTCGAGCCTTGCACTCCAGCCGCCACTATTGGTCCCACTGGAGAGTGGAAACACCGCCTTCGTCTTGGCTGACTCAGAGGGGGCAGGCCCTGCCAAAGAAAACAGAAGATGAAGGCAAGCAAGACGTGCCAGTCAGACAGTGGGGAGAGATCAGGTTCCAATACAACCACAGGGACTCTCTAGGAACATCAGCCAATGAAGAACCACACACAGTCTTGGAAGTAACTGGAGAGACCATGTGGGTCAGATCCTTCTTGATTTGATGATAATGACTCGTAGGCTCAGAGATGGGCAAAAACTTGCCCAAGATCACACTGAAACAACAGCAGAGCTGGGCTGGAGTCTGACGCCTAGTGATCCCAGTGTGGCTGCCATTAGCTCTGGGATGTGCAGTCCCAAGAGGTACGCAGGTGTACATGTGTGGAGGGATTGGGGGCAGCGGAGCGAGCAGGTACCTGTGAGGACCGTGAAACTCAGATCATCTCCAGAGCCAAACTTTCGGTTGAAGGTCATTAAGACAAAGAAGGGTTGGCCTCTCCGGCAGATGAGATTCTGGCTGGAGAACTTGTCTGTGTGATGCGCCTGCCGGTTGGAGCTCACCTGCCAGTTGAAATTCTGGAGTTCTAAAGCTGTGAGACAGAAAGAAGAATTTCTGAGAGGCAAGAAATGATGGCATGGGGAAAAGGTTTGGTTACCAAAAGGCCAGCTCTGGGGTGAGGATATTCAAGACAGAGCCAAGCTTCTAGGAAGAATCACATGAAAATCCAAAGGCCTTGATCCTGCAAAGCAAGAAGGTTCCAATCTGTTCCCATTCGGTCTTTCTGGACTCGGCTTCCCCAAGTCACATGACACAAGATCACAGAGCATGCTCTGCCCTTTCAGACAGCTGGGCCTCCTCAATGCTGTTCCTGCTGCTACGAGTGCCCTTCCCGTCCCACCTGGTGAACTGTCACGCAGCCCTTGGGGAAGAGCCAAATGGTCAGTGAAGCCTCACATACCCAGCCAGAAGCAGCATGTCACCAGAGCACCTGCGTTCTGTCCCTTCGGCATATCTCTCCTTGCTCTGTGGATGGGGCCTTCACCAGAACCGAGGAGGACGCTCTGAAATGCACCACCTGGCTTGCCTTGTTTTCTTGTCCCTTCTGTCTCCTCAGACACCAAGTGCTCTTATCACGCCAACCTCCAGCAAACCTCTCCGTACATATCCTTTTCCTTCTTAATATTCCCAATGCCTTGGTGTTGGCCTGGGCTTCTCAGGCTGGGAGGCCAACCAGGACCCCGGGCAGCACCCCTAGGCCTGCAAATCCCCCACCCAGAGGGGACTGGCAAGTGTTCACTGGTAAGAAGCAGATGTAGGAGCAGGTCAAAGGCCCAAGAAATGCCCAGATAAGACCCTGAGGACAAATGTCTCAAAAGCTACCCTTCCCCACTTTTTCTCACATGATTATGGAGGTGATGGAGCTAAACTGAGAATAGTGTATGTGAGATTCCATGACATAGTTTAGCTCACATATACCTTTCAAGAAATCTTATTTGAATTCTGTTTGAGATGGTAAGCCATCCGTTCCTCTGCAAACCAAACCGATTTCTGTCTTTATTGGTTTATTTACTTATTTTATTTGCCAGAGGATGCATGCCATTGCCTCAGAGAGACAGAGAGACAGAGAGTGAGAAGGCATGTCACAATGGGGCGTGATCATGCCACGATCTCTTCTCCATCTCTCTATTCTGCCAGCATCTGGGACACACACATACATACTTGGTGTGTTTTTTAAGCTGCCGGGCTGAGATTTGAACTATGCAATCACCCATGTGGGATCTGGCTTCCTTAATCACCAGGTCAGAGGGCTGGTTGGATCTCTGTCTTTATGATGAGGTCACAACAATGATGAGAGAGTGATGGTCCATCCCAGTTGCCAGATATGACTTTTTATATACATGTCTGTCTCCATTAGACTGTGTCTTCTCGATCATTATATTGTGATGCCTAACACATTGCTTCACTGTCTTAGGATAATGCAATAAATAAATGGATGAAGGAACGAATAAACAAAGAGAAAACTAATGCCATAAAATGGCCATCATAGGAGCCAGCAGTGGCATGGTGGTTGGGGGTGCTGGAATCCCACATGGCCCACTGCAGTTCAAGTCCCGGACCTGGTGGCTTGCTTTCTCACTTTCCTTTTCTTACTCTGTCCCTCCCTGGTCAAATTTAAATAAGTGAATAAATAAATAAAGTTAAATAAAATAATTTTTTAAAAAAATGGCCACATAATTAAAGCTAAATCTTTAGTCCGTAAGAAGAGAGGAATATGGGTATTATTCACTCAATGAATAGAGCACCTATTATTTGTAAGACACTAAATTAGACACAAACCTGGGAGTGTGAAATGTATTTTCAGTAGTTAAAACTAATTTTTTTTTACAGTTGTACATTTTTAAAAGTTTTTATTTGTCATAGGACACACAGAGAGACAGTGAGAGGGGAAGTTTGAAATGACCCCTGCCCCTCCCCCCACCTGGGGGATGGCCATGCCACAGTCCCTCATCCTCCATTCTCCTCTTGGGATTTTGGGCTGCACACACATGTGCCCGGCATGATTTTCAAGCTGCTGAGTTCAAGAGTCAACTGCAGTTGACCATGTGGGAGTCCAGTGCCTTAATCACCATGCCACCTGCTGGCCTACATTTGTACATTTTAGCTACACATCAACTTCAGTGATGGGTGAGCCCAGCATAAATGACAATGAATGACAAAACGTGGTGAATCCCACACCCAGTGAAAGGTGTGTGAGAGATGCAGGCAGGAGAAAGTCATTTTCAGTTAGTGACTGGGATCAGAAAAAGCTTCACTGAGGAGCTGGCAGGTAGCATGGTGGTTAAAGGTGTTGGACTCCCACCCGGTCAACCACGGTTCGAGTCTCAGACCTGGTGGCTTGCTTTCTCACTTTCCCTCTCTCTTTCTCTATCTCTCGCTGATAAAACTGGAAAATAATAATAAATAAACATAAATAAAAATCATTCTTAAAAAAAAATCTTCTCTGAAAATGCTAGGCCTTGAAAGGAGAGAGAATTTTGTCAGGTGCCAGAGGAGCAGCCTGCTCTCTGGACGTGGGAAGAGGGGCTCCTAAAGCACAGGAGGGTGTGGCCTGTTATTTGGCTAGAGCAGAGGCCCTGCACAGAGAAGAGAGAACAGTGAGACAGGAGTGAGTAGGGGGCTGGAGCAGGACTGGGGAGGGGCTACCACCACAGCAGCTTTGGATACTGGGCAGAGTTTGTGGAATAAAATACAGGCTCCCTGGGAACCAAACGTTGTTACTGCAGAGAGGGGCTAAGGAGGTGATCTTCCCCCAGCTCAGGGCCCACTCATTCATTCATTCATTCAACAAATATTCATTGAAAGAATAAATTAACACATTCTTGCACACATTCAGGGGAACTCTTAGGTCGTTGGGAAGTCATGATGTATTTTTCTATGTTTTTTTATGCAAATGGGCATCATGACTTTCTCGACAAACAGTAAAACATTCATGCAATCCAGTGTTGAAGAAAAGAGAAAGGGAAGACAGGAGGATTGGAGGGAGGGAGAAAAAAAGATGGGCATTCCTATATGTAAATATCAAGTGGATTCAGCTCAGATCAAGGGCTTGATCTCTCCAGCAAACCTTGAGCTCTATGTGGCTTGCACATAGCTGGACTGCCAGATGCTAAGTCTCTCCAGGGCAATGACCTCTCACTAATTTCTGAAAGTATTTCTTTCTTCCATGAGAGAAGGAAACAGAAAGTGAGAAAAAGAGAAAGACAGTGAGAGGCATCCCCAGAAGATCCTACCCCCAGCTTCAGCCAGAATCGCAGACACATGCGCACTCGTGGTGTGCAAGGGGATGTGAACCTGGGACCTACCCGTACGGCCTCAGCATGGTGGAATACTGTGCAGCAGCACCATGGTGGCTGGTTATCACCTTTTTAACCCCTGCCTCCTACCAACCTTGTTCACCAACTGCTGAACATTCCAGACACTTGAGATTTGAGCTTTACTCTCTGTTTTGCTTTAGAAAAAAAAAAAAGAACCTGTGGTTTCAAACATCATGAGTCTCCCCAGCAATTCTTCACCCCCTCCAACCTTAACCTGAAGGATGCGTGTCCTTCTCCAGGTGAAGCCCCATATGATAACCCATTGGCTCTCTGAGAGTAGAAAGTGTATCCCAGGCAGCCCTCTGCCAAGCACAGGGGTAAGGAGAGAGGAGAAGGAGGAATTTTGTATCTATCGGTGGTATCTGCATCCCCGCCAACAGGCCCATGTCCTTCTTCGTAAAACTCTATGTTCATGCTACCTGGTGGTTAAGTCGCTGGATTCCCACATTGCCCACTGTGGCTTGAGTCACAGACCTGGTGGCTTGAAAATCATACCAGGCATATATGTGTGCATGCCTAAAATCCCAAGAGGAAAATGGAGGAAAAGCGATTGTGATGTGACCACCCCCTTAAGGGGCGATTTCTCTTTTTCCCTCTTACTATCTCTCTCTGTCTCACTCTAGCAAAGGTGCGAACTCTACAGCCAAAAAAAAAAAAAAAGATTTCAAGCAAAACAAACCCCTCCCCGTTCCCTTATATGGAGCTTACAGGTGATTACAGAGTTGAAACTTTGGGCCTGACACCCAGGGACGAGAGAGAGCCTGGAGATAGACTTAATGACCAACGACCAACGATGTAATCACTCATGTCTGCCTAACAGAGTCACCATAAAACCCCTACACTTTGTGGAGAGCTTCCTGGGCTGGTGAACACATGGAGACAGGACAGGGCATGGACGTTCCATACCCCTTCTCTCACATTGCACTCCACGCATCTCTTCCATCTGGTTCTTCCCAAGTTGTGGCCTTTGATAACAAACTGGCAATCGGCTTTCCTGCATTCTGTGAGCTGTGCTAGCAAATCTGAAGAAGGAGTGATGCTTGGTCAGAAGCACAGGTACTGGTTTGGACTCAGTAGTGGTGTCCGGGGTGGGGCAGTCTAATGGGACTGAGCCCTTAGCTTGTGGAGTCTGCATTAACTCTAGTTAGTGTCAAACCCAGCAAGACATAGGACACGCCATTGGCCTTTGCTGAGAATTGGAGAATTTGCGTGGTATGGAAAAAAAACTCCACACATTTGATAGATGGAAGTATTGAGACTAGAAGAAAACATGGTGTGTCCTTTTTACCAGGTCTTACTAATGCTACCCTGTTGCTGTGGTCCTGGTTCTCCTGATGTGGGGTCCCATGCAGGACCTGGAGTGTAGAAGGTACCCTAGATAGTGAGGGGCCCTCGCAACGCACTGTTCACCCCCTAGTATTTGTATCCTGATAGGAAAGAGAGACAGAGTGCCTGGAAGGGGAAAATACATTCCAAAAGAGCAATTCCAGGGCAGGTGAGTCAAGGGGAACGGCACCCTTGGACAGGCAGGTCAAGTGCAAGCTCACAAAGTCTCTGGTGTGGTCTGAAACCTTTCTCCTTCCCCTGGCTAACCCCTGAACCCAGGATTGGCTCTGTCCATCCCTAAGCAGTCTGTGGCTTATCTAGGGCCTGTTGTTCCCTGACTTGTCCCACCTTGACTAGTCATAGCCCACTCTGCCAGAACGAGTAGGGA